TGCCCTTTTTCTCTCTTGGAGCTCCCTTTATATCCTAGCTTTTTATACCCTTTTTGGGTTTTTTTCCTTTTTTTTTTTTTTTTTTTTTTTTTTGCTTTATATGCTATGTAGCACTTAATGAATACTACTTCAAGAATTAAAAAACCCGTGATTGAATCAGAAGAATCATAAGAATACGGTTTTCCTTCACTATCCTTCCTTTTTCTTTTCTCTATGTAAAATACAGAGGATAAAATTCTACCTTTCCAGAGATGTTGGAAATACTAAATTTATTTTATGCTGACAGAATAGTGAGCCTCAAATAAAAGAGGTATATAAATGAAGTGGATTATAGCATTGTTACACCTTATGAAACAGTGCTCAGAGTTTAACTATTTTGGTTTATAAAGTTGAGCTTATCTTTCAAGGATGCAGTATCTCTTTGGAAGCAGCTAATTATTAAGATGTAGAAAGCGTGTTTGTCTAACTGATCCCTTTTTGTTACATTTTCTGGGAATAAATGGGTTGATGTATTTACCTTTGTTTCCTTTTCTGAACAAATATATTTATAAGAATTTGTCTTGTTTTTCCAGTTAAAATTCTATTACAGAAAATTTAGAACAATAAAGATAAGGAAAACTCATTCATATCCCCTGATATCTCTGCAGGTTTCTAGCTTATGCTTTTAAGGCCTCCTTTGTGTCTTCAGTTTCTCATTCTGTGTGTGCTAGCTACTTCATTGTACTCCTCCAGATTGTTCCAGACAAGAAACTCAGCATCTTCTTGAAATCCTCCTTACGCTTTTCTGTTCTTATTCCCTAGGGGGAAAAAATCATGTCTACAGAGCAGACTTTCATCAGTCATTTAGTTGAATTAGAAGTGCGGTTTCATCACAGCCACGCAGTTTATAATTCCACCTTAAGCATTCCTGTTCTGCAAATCCCATTTCATGGTTTCCCGAACATTATGGAGAATCAGTGGCTCCACCTCATCCCAGTCTTGCTGACCTAGATGCTTTCTTTTTTTCCTTCTTTTTTTTTTTTTGTCTTTTTGTCTTTTTCCGTGTCCGGCAACGGATCGCAACCCTCAGAGTTGCCCCCGTACCGGACCGGGGACCGGCAATGGGATCGCAACCCTCGGTGTTGCCCCCGCGCCTCGCTCAGCCAGTGAGCGGGAACCGGTCCGCATGTGGGATCCGAACCCTCGGGCGGGAGCGCCGCCGCACTTCCCAAGCAGCACACTATCCAGTGCGCCACCGGGCCGGCCCCTCTTTTTTTCCTTCTTGATGCTCCTTCTCTTGTGTCTCCCAGTTACCTTCTTACTGTGCTCCTTATTAATTCTAAAGTTTTCTGTCTCCATTGTGCAAAATAATTTCTCGAAATGATCAGCAGATGAAAGAGTCATCTGTTTAGCATTATTTATGCACGTTGGGTGGCAATTATGGTTTCTTATGAGGGAATTTTTCTGTTGCAAGTTTTCAAGATTCTGTAAAAGTAATTTTTTTTCAGCTCCATTACTAAGATTTAACAGATTATTTACCTATTGAAATAGTATGGTGAACTATTTTTCCTCCCCATAAAACTTGTTCTGTACTTCTGGCTATTCCTTTAGGAAAGATTATTAGAGGTGGCATTGCTGAAATATGTGGTATTTTAGGATCTTGATACATATTTCCAAAGAACTTTTTAAAAAATTGTTCAGCATAGGACCGGCCCGGTGGCGCACTGGATAGTGCGCCGCTTGGGAAGCGCGGTGGCGCTCCCGCCCGAGGGTTCGGATCCCACATACAGACCGGTTCCTGCTCACTGGCTGAGCGAGGCGCGGGAGCAACACCGAGGGTTGCGATCCCGTTGCCGGTCCCCGGTCCGGTACGGGAGCAACACTGAGGGTTGCGATCCGTTGCCGGACACGGAAAAAGACAAAAAAAAAAAAAAAATTGTTCAGCATAAAAATTTTGAAGGAATAATAGAAGTCTTTATTGAATATACTTTTAACTTAAAATTGGAAACTTTTAGGTTCTAATTCACTGATTATCTTTCTGGATATGACTGTTGTGTTAGGTTTTAGAGACATTATTGATGGTCCCCAAATTTGTGGAGCTTCAACTTAGTTTAATATGGAAAGCATTTTATCATTGATTTTTAAGACACAATTTTTGAGTGTTGTTCTTTTGAATCTAGATAGGTCAGCACCCTCATTATTTGCTTATGTGATACTATATTTATTTATGTGGTAGTGGCTAAATGTTGATAAGATGAAAATATGGTTTCATTTTCATATCAAAATAGCATGTCATCTTGACAACTAAAGAAAAAAGCCATGGCGAACAGCAGCGATTCTTGTCTCTCAAGTCAAACTTTAGCACATGGTATTTGTTTCACCACTAAGAAAAAAAGTAGTCTTTTGGTTCCTTACTTTAGTTTAAAGGAAAATGGGGTAAAGTCCTCTATTAAGCTTGTTTGTTTGTTCATATTGATTGAAGTTGTAGAAGTGTTGCAAAATACCCAGAGAGTGTCAAGTTGGGGTGGTAGGAAGCGATATAGAGAAAACATGGCTTTTAGATTTAGACAAATCCCAACTCTACCATTTATTTATTCTTTGATAACTCCTTAATTAACCTCTCTCTCTTCCTGGAAGAAATTAGGGTTATAATTCTTAGCCTAATAAGGTTGTGAGAAGTTAATTCCATGTGGACATAATTATGGCTTAATAATAGAATTATTGTGAAATAATTTCAGACTTACAGAAAAGTGGCAAAAATAGCACAAAGAATTCTCATATATTCTTCCTTAAGATTCCCTGAATGTTAACATTTTAAAATCCCGTCTTCTTTTTGTTTCCATCTCTTTCTTTCTCTCCCTGTATTTATGCTGAGGTTTTTCCTGACCCACTTAAGAGTAAGTTGCAGATACTGATGCCTCTTTACCTGTAAACGTTCTAGTATGAACTTCTAAAAGCAAGGACATTTTCTTATGTAACACAGTAAAATTGTTGAAGTCAGGAAATTAACACTGATTTAGTACTATTATCTAATCTACAGACCTTATTCAAATGTCTATCATTGTCTCACCACTGCCTTTAGAGAAATTTTTTTCTGGTCCAATCCAGGACCACTCATTGCATTTAGTTAACATGTTTCTTTACTCTCTTTTAATCTGGATATTTCCTCAGTCTTTTTTCATCTTTTGTAACTCTGACATCTTTTAAAAGTACATGCCATTTATTCTGTAGAATAGCCCTTAAGTTGTATTTGTCTGATATCATGAATAGATTTAAGTTATGAATTTTTAACAGAAACATCATAGAAGTGATGTTTTGTCCTTCTCAGTACATATCAGAAGGCACATGGTGTCACATTATCCTATTACTGGTGATATTGATTCTGATCATTTGGCTAATCTTTCAGATTTCTTCCCTGTATGGTTGCCATTTTTCTCTTTATAATCAATAGTCATCTAATGGGAAGATACTTTGAGACTGTAAATAACCTGTTCTCAAACTATCAAAGTTCCATCCACTAGTTTTAGCACCCATTAGTGATTCTTGTCTGAAACAATTAATGTCATGGTGATTGCCAAATGAATATTAGAATTTTTAACATTAACTGATTATTCTGCAGTGGCCAGATTACAGCCAGATATCATACTTTGAGTGTCTAGGTTTGTTTAGCCCAAGGAAAAGAATTACTAGGAGATAACTGACTTCAACTGTTTGAAGAGTTTTTCTGCAAAGAGAAGGTGGACGTAGTTTGTATTGCTTCACCAGGCAGAATTGCAGCAACAGGGTAAAGTTCTAAGTAGGAATGCTTACTTTACATAAGTTTTAAGCTTCTAGTAGAGCTGTCCCACAGTGGCACATACCACCATAGAAAGCAGTGTATTTTCTGCATGGAGGGAATGTTTTTACTGTTTCTTGACTTATTACTATGGTGCTATTGTCTGTGCCAGGCACTTTTGTGCATCTACTCATTTAATTTGTTTTATAGATGAAGAAATAGAGTCTCAGTTAAATAATTTTTTCAAGTTGTTTGACTATGACTCAGTTAAATCCCTGTCTGACTCAGAGCTCTTCCTTTTTTTTTTTTTTTGCATAGTACAATTTTTTTTTATTGATTTTGAATATTCATGAGATACAAAGCTGATTGTCACCACTCGTGCCCAAGATGTGATGGCCAGATCCATACTGGCAGCATGCCCATTACTACAAATTGCGATTATACCCCATGTCCCCCTCCCAATTATCCCCGACCTCCCTCCCCATCCCCCTTTCCCCCATCCACTTTGTATCCCTAGGTATGTTCTCTCCCTGGAAGTCTAATACACCACTGTGGTCTTTCTTTCCTTCCTTCTTTCTCTCTTAGCTCCCACTTATAAGTGAGTACATGTGGTATTTTTCCCTCTGTGCTTTGCTTATTTCATTCAACTTAAGTTTCTCCAAGCTCATCCATATTGCTGCAAATGGGAGAATTTCATTCTTTTTTATAGCAGAGTAGTATTCCATGGTTATATATATTCCATATTTTCCTTATCCAGTCATCCATCGATGGACATTTAAGTTGGTTCCATATCTTGGCTATTGTAAACAGAACTGTGATGAACATGGGAGTGCAGGTATCCCTTTGACATGATGATTTCCATTCCATTGGGTATATACCCAGAAGTGGGATTGCTGGATCGTATAGAAGATCAATCTGTAGTTGTTTGAGAAACCTCCATACTGTTTTCCATAGTGGGTGTACTGATTTACAATCCCACCAACAGGGCTCTTCCTCTTTACAGCACATCTCACTGCTAGTTGAAGGAGTCCCAGTATTGCAAGAGTGGGTGGATTCAGTAATTCTTAGTATTAATTCTAATTCTAAAATCTATGGTTGTATGAGAATGTCTGTTCCTGTGTACCATGTGATGTTTGCTGATTTCCAAATACATACTAAGCTGTGATACATATTTCATAAGAATCACTTGTGTGTCTTTTGGCAATAGATTTGTAATTTTAATGATGGCACATGGGTTGACATCAAAACTATTTCTGAGCTAGCTTGTATAACTATGGATATTTCTGAGTGTGATACTCAAATTCTGCTAAGATTTGGAAGTCAACTGAAGTTTGCCTTTAAACAAAATAAGCTCAGCTTTGGAGATCTTGGATTTATGAAGTAGTGAGAGTACATCTCTGCAAAGTGCCCCACAGACAACTAGGAATGTAGGTTAAGAGCTCCAGGGAGAGTTTGGAATTAAGTGGAGATTTAGGAATTACCCGCAGAGAGGATAATTGAAGAAATGGGCTTGAATATAATTTCCAAAGGAGTAAGATTAGAGAGAATAAGACTGAGGACGTACTTAGGGTTTCCAAATTTTCAAATACTTAGTATTTCCAAGACTAGAGGAAAAGGAGGAATCTGTGTATGTCTAGGGATGGAGGAAGGAGGTTAGGATCCAAGTGAGACATATTTTTCTTCAAAGGGCTTACAATCCTTTAGGAAAAAAAAATAATAAAAATGAGCAGTTAGGAGCTAAATAGTTTTCAAGCTTTATAATAATGGAGGAGGCCTAAATCTCAGAAGAGAAGAGAGATTAATTAGAAAGGCTTAAGAAAATAAAATATTTTTAAACCGAAAGTAATTAAGCAATACAAAGTGAGAGAAGAAAAAGAGGCTTTGACTAATGATAAAATTAAAATAAGTGTAGTAATTTTTTAATTGTATTCTCGTTTATATTCAGATGGAAACGTAAATAAACAAAAGAGCAAATATATGGAAAAGAATTGGGTGGGAAAAAGTATTACCTTTAAGCAGTCCTCAGAGTTAGAACTAAAGACAAAAGAGAATTTTTCTACAAACTTTGTGCAGAGTGTGGCAGTGTATCGGGTTAGGTGGTGGTATTTCAACTCCTTATCATTTCTGTTGGGTTCCTCCTGCCCCTCACCCTGCAAGGTTTATGTTAAAACGTTTTTAAAATTTTCTGTTCACAGTATGTTTCTTGGCTTATCAGTATGCTAATATACTTATGTCCTCAGCATAAGATTTCCCAAATCATGGTTGTGATTTTCCAAATCATTGTTGTTGTTGTTGTTGTTGTTGTGTGTGTGTGTGTGGTTTTTTTTTTCCCCAGCCTGTTTGATGGCTTTGCAGATGGACTAGGAGTTGCTGAAGCTATTTCTTATGTGGATCCTCAGTTCCTCACCTACATGGCACTAGAAGAACGCTTAGCCCAGGCTATGGAGGTATGTTATTAATGCTAATAATGCTCATATATAAGTTGATGGGATACAAAATTATATAATTTAAAGATTTAAAGTGTTTTTTAAATTACTGTACTCTTAAGAAAAGGTGAATAGTTTTTTCATAAATTACTGAATAGTGATTGTCACCAGTATGTGTATATGTTACTTTTCGTCCTGCCAGTTTGACTCGCTTTTTACTTCAGAATGGAAAATATTTTGCTTACATTTGGAAAATATACTTTTTCCCTCTATTGAATTATGTAGGTATGAGAGTCTAAATAGTTTATACATACACACATACACAGGTAAGCATATCTGTGAAATGAAATTGAAGATCTATAAGGATATCTTACAGGTCACTTTCTTTTGTTCTCGTGGCTTCTAAATACTATCTTGCTGCCTAATGCAGTTAGGAAATTTGCTTCCTCTCTTCCTCACACACATACACACTTTAATAAATGTGGCACGTTTGTTGCCTAAATTTTTCTTGACTTCTTTTCATTATTTTACTAAAACAGAAACACTTGTTCTTAAATGTATTTGCCTGAGGTCAAAAGCCCTAGTATTTGCATGTTTGGGAACTTCCACTGCACTAATGGATTTTATTATAAGAAGTCTTTTTTTTTTTTTAAAGATGTATTTGCATGTTTGGGAACTTCCACTGCACTAATGGATTTTATTATAAGAAGTCTTTTTTTTTATTTAAAGATGTCTGGTAAGGGGATCTTAACACTTGGCTTGGTGTTGTCAGCACCACGCTCTCCCAGGTGAGCTAACCGACCATCCCTATATAGGGATCCGAACCCGTGGCCTTGGTGTTATCAGCACCACACTCTCCCAAGTGAGCCACAGGCCAGCTCCAGAAGTCTTTCTTTTAAATCCCCGTTTCCAAGATGATTTTCAAAGTACAGGAACAATAACTAATGAGTGAGTGAAAGGTGAGAGAACAAAAATTAATCAAGAAAATGTTCAGGAGCATTTTATGTTAAAATTTTCTGAGATTAGAAAGTCCAGTTTAGAGCCGGCCCGGTGGCGCACTGGATAGTGCGCCGCTTGGGAAGCGCGGCGGCGCTCCCGCCCGAGGGTTCGGATCCCACATACAGACCGGTTCCCGCTCACTGGCTGAGCGAGGCGTGGGAGCAACGCCGAGGGTTGCAATCCCGTTGCTGGTCCCCGGTCCGGTCCGGGGGCAACACTGAGGGTTGCGATCCATTGCCGGACACGGAAAAAGACAAAAGGCAAAAAAAAAAAAAAGAAAGTCCAGTTTAGATTGATAAAATAGATAGTAGATAGAAGATAGATGCCTATCCATTTACACATGTACGCACACCACTTAACGTTAGTTCTGCTTTGACATTACTTTTGTATATATGGATAATCTTCCGTGGAGATCATTGCTCTCAATTATGCTTTATGATACATGTTTTTCTCAACGTGACCACAGCAGAAATACTATATAGTAGGAAAAAAAATCAGAAAGAACATCAAGAGACAGGATACACTTAGGATTTTTGCCAGATTATTTAACCTGCCTTGCCAAACCCTGATAAATACAAAATAATGGTACAGCATGATAACTTGCATCAGAAACATAATATAGGAAGATTAAGGATCACTGACTTCCTTGAGGTAAGTAACTTTTGAGTGACTACGGTGGAGTACATCTGTTCTCAGTCTGGTCTCACAATGCTTGAACAGTCTTCCATTTTTATGCTCGTGGTTTATGATTTCCTGCAACATGGAGATACCTTAAAAAAGAAGTGCTGAATAAAATAAGTTTTATTACTCATTACTAATAGGTAATGTGACATTTGATTGGCCTCTTGAAAGAAGAGCCAGAAAGATTGGTCATGGGAGGTTATGCCAGGTAAACGCACTAGCAGAATGAACAAAGACAGGATGCAAGTAAGATCACAGTACATCCAGGGAACTTACGGTCCCGTGACTTGTTTGCTTTTGCTAAGAGGGAACCCAGTGCCACTACCACTTTTAAAATTATTCTCATCCATCTATCCTTCTGCCTCTGATTAATGGCTTTGGGTCTCCTTTCTTCACAGCTTAATAGCTTCCTCACATTTTAGTGCTCTGCTTTATTTTATTTGAATTTGATTGAGACTTTTCATCCCTAGAGAATCCACACAGTTCCATCTTCCTATTACTGTCCAGAAATCTTTATTTTTTCATGTGTAGTATGCATTTACTTGTATTTAATCATTTTGAAAAATGAAACTGACATAATTTATGGTTTTTCTTTTTAGATTTAACACTAACATATTTTACTGAAACAAAAGCAAATAATAAACTGTGTGCTTTTATTGTTTGTTTCTCAAGCAGCCCTGTACCTTTTTGGAAGTAGTTGCTTTCATTTCTGTTACTTGTTCAATACTAGACTGATCTTTCTTTTCAGGTAATGACTTTTGGTGCAAATATATGTGATACGCATTTGTCTCACATCTGAGTCTCAAATTTGAGTGAGCACAGGGTAAAATATAGAACATCCTTAACTTTTTAAAACAGTAATACTAAAGCTTTCTACTTTCTCCTAAATTTTGAAAAGCATATATCCTCTTGTACATGTTTATGTTGACAAAATAAAATTCTTAGCATAAATCTAAGTGGTATTGCTTACCTTATCATACTTTTTTTTAAGAAAAATTTCTAATGTAAAAAATTGGTTTAAATTGAGTTACAATTAATAGTATTCGATTGATCAAAGATAAATTATTATAAATTTTGATAAGTATTCATAAAATTTTACTGTAAATCATCTCTTAAGGAGATGGAGGCTTTTTCCCTTCCCAGTTACTTCATGAGTGAATTTTATTTATTCCTAGAATGAGACACATTTCAGCATAAATTTTATTTCTGTTTTTCATCTTTTTGAATGTAAGCTTGAGAAACCTTGTTCACATAAATAAATTGATAGGGATAGGAGTTTATCGTAGCATTGTCACTCAGTTCTTCTGAGATATTTGCCAAAAATTACATCAACTTAACAAGTTGTTTAGATCTTCCTTCAATTTTTTTGAAAGCAATTTGTTATTCAGTCATTAGAGTTCAGTTTACACCAGTACTTCAGATTGCCCCCTGAATGGGTAAAATGTATGCTTTCATTTATAAGGTGGGAGACAGGTGAGTATAAAAAAAAGTGGGAACAGAAAACCACGTGATATTTTGACTGTGGGTACATTCTTACGTAGAACAATTTGAGGAATTATTACTTAAGAAAGTTAATTGAAATTTTTCCCCTAAGAGTGTCCACACCCATGGGCCCCTTGAAAAGTCTTTACATACTCACAAGATCACCTCATATACATTGAGGTGTAGACACTAGAAAGGTAATACATGGAGGTTAAGAGAATGGGCTTTAAATTAGATAGTTAGGCTGTGTGACCTTGGATGATTCACTTAACCTCTCTGAGCTTCAGGTTCCTCATCTACAAAGTGGGAATAATAACATCTACCTCCTGGATTATTGTTGAAGCATTTAACAAAATATCTGGTGTGGTGGCTCTAAGTAAATGGCTATATTCTTAGTTATTCTTACATCAGCAGTCAGCCAAGTGGTAATCATCCAGCAAATCTGGATTCAGTGGTCATCATTCAAGATCAGTATTAAATCATTTGTTATAAATCTTCATTCTTGAAAAACTAAATTTTGTTTTATTCTTTAGAAACTAAATTTTGTGCTGACAAAGGATTATGCTACTTTAAACCTAGATATATTCCAGATTGAGTTATTTAGACTACTTATTTAGTTGTCTTTCTGATACTTGGACTGACTTTTGAGAATATATTGTACTGCTTAAAAGTGTAAATAGATTTTTATAGTTTTATATATTTTCATAGCAGTGGCTATAAAATGGTCTCTTTTTGCTCTTGTTGCTTTTAAGTATCCCAGATCATCTTACAAGGCAATAAATTATTTTTACATACATGAAATTTCAGGATCTATTAGCACTGCAAATGTACAAGTAATCATCCAGAAAGGGATAATGAACCCATTGAGACAAATATGTATCAAAGCATAGTTGGCCTGGAATAACCTCCCCAAATGAAAGTTATTATAAATAGTATCCCTTCTTTTTTGTTTATGTGTAGCACAGATGAGTTCTTGCAAGCAGGGTGTATCTTGAGAAGTACATAGGGAATTGGGAGAGATTCATGATTATAGTTATGTGAGAAAGAAAAGGACAGGTAACAGGATCTTACCTTCCATTTCCTATCTCCTGATGGGAAAGTCTAGTATAAAGAATTATTAACTATAATGAGAGATTAGGGTAGCAAGGGATTAACTAGTAAGAAATAAAGATAATTCTGAAGAGTATAGGAAAAGCACATATAAGGAGCAGCTACCACCTGTCAGGCTAAGATAGAACACCCAAGGAAGAGTCCCCACTCAACCCCAGGGCTGAGATCCAGACCTTGATAGAAGTGGCACAGCTGTGGCTCACTAGATGCCAGAGAAGTCACTGTGATGCTATGCTGGCAGAACTTGCTGGAAATCAGCCCTCCAGGGTACCAGGGAAAGCTATTCATAGAGAGGTATGTAACTGGAAGTACTCCGCTACAGAACTGTCCAAGGCGGGTCCTGGACAGTTGTGATGCTGGCCGCTTGCATTACAAGAGCTGGCCTCTGAAGAAGCTGTGTGTGCTGTGGGAGTCTAGTGCTAGAGGAAGCCATGGAATGCACAGAAGCCTGTCAAGCAAGCACACTGGGATCAGAAGCAAAACTCTTTTCATCCTGCAGTCTCTTTAGCATCCTTGTGAACAAACCTTATAACATCTTGCCAGCTGTTAGAAGGGGAAATGTTTAAATGGCCCAGATTTTCACAGAGCAGAGAAAAATATTGAATTTGGAGTTGAGCACAATAACTGGAACAGTCCACGCCTTTAGGAACTTGGCTTCCATATACACCTTTCTACCCACATTTGAACTCCCATCCAACAATACAACTACATTTCTACCTAACAAGATATAGCTATTGTTACAAATGAAGTTTTCACCATTTCTCCTGAATGAGCGGATGTATAGTCCCAAGAGTCATTGTATCTATCACTAGCTTCACAAATTACTCCACAAATTCAGTCACAGTCACACTGAATATTCTCTTACGTAAAGACTAGATTACGAAGTTAACTTCTAGCAACTGTTATATGAAATGGAAGTGGGAAAGAGAGAGAAAAAGAAAATGGTTAACATGTACTCATAAACACATAAAACAAGCAAATAGAAAATATGCAAAGCTGCTAGTTCTTGTTTATGTATTTGGTCACAAGGCTATAACTGACAGCTCTGCCTTCCTTCTTTCATGATCCATTCCATATTTTCTTTGCTCTCAGCCAGAACCTCAGCTGGTTAGGATTCTTTACATGGTAGAGTAACCCAAACCTACATTACTGAAGAGTTCGTGTCATCAATTGTCCTTCCTTTTTTTGGCTGCTATAGTTTTCTGGTAAATATAGTGGTAGGCATGGAAGTATTAAGAGATGCACACTGCAAGTGAGATTTTCACAGGGTTTTCAAGCAGTGGGACCCTAGTCTGTGGAGGGCAAACTACTTCCAGTGGTCAAAGGAGGCTCAGAGAGACTTGGGGATTCAAGATCATCAGTTTCATATTATTTAAATCAGATGTCCCCATTTCAAGTTTCATAATCCCATTCTTTAACCAATCAATGCTATAACTTTCGAGAAATTTGACAAGACTGAGAATTCAATTAACATTTTAATTTAGCAGTCCACACCATTAAACTTTATGTTTGATTTTTAGAAATAAGAGCTACTTTTAAGGCTGTCATGAAAGCTCTCTCGTTCTCATACTGTGTCTTGAGCCGAAAGTTAACAGACCTGAGTTTGTAATTTTCTCTGTAAGTGCACAAGACACCATTAAACTTTATGTTTGATTTTTAGAAATAAGAGCTACTTTTAAGGCTGTCATGAAAGTTCTCTCGTTCTCATACTGTGTCTTGAGCCGAAAGTTAACAGACCTGAGTTTGTAATTTTCTCTGTAAGTGCACAAGGGCATTCAAAATAACCCATCCCACACCACAGTTTTTATAGTCAGTTCATTACTATCTTAAGGTCAAGTGCAGCAGCTACCTGGGCTCCTAAGACATGTGATTTAGTTAGCACTTGATCACAATCAACCACAGGGATAGCTTGATTAATTGTGATGCCACTGCAGGCCATGGATTAATAGCATTCCATTCCCATTGACAAGGACCTTAGCACTGAGCTCAAGCCCAAAGGTCCAACCAAAGCAATCCCCAAATCCTATTCTTGCAGGTCCACTCCAGGGACCACTCATACCAATTCTGCATCAGTCTGGGCTCAATCACAATAATTTGAACAGGGAAAGTTTAATAAAAATATTAACTACAACAGGAGATTAGAATAACAAAGGATTGGCTAGTAGGAAGTAAAGGGAACCTCTAAAGAATATAGGAATAGCAGATTTAAGGAACAGCTTTAGGGCTGAGATAGAGTACTCCACTTCCCCACCCAGGGCTGAGATCCTGACCTTGTTAGGAAAGACACAGCTGTGGCTCGTAGAGAAGTGTTTATGGCACTATGCTGGCAGGACTTGCTGGAAATCTGCCCTCTGGGGCACCACAGAAACTGTTCACAGGGAGGACTAACTGGAAGCATTCTGCTACAAAACCATCCAAGGTGAATGCCAGAAGAAGCTGCTGGCCACGTTGAACTGCAGTTGCCAGGCACTGGAGAAGCTGCCTATGCTTCAGGAGCCAGGCGGTGGAGAAGCCACCCACAAGGGAGGAGTCAGGTGCTAGAGAAGCCACCCACAGTATAGGAGCTAGGCATTGGAAGCCACCCACACTGGAGGAGCCTGATGCTGGAGAAGCTGCCACACTGGAGGAGCCAGGCACTGGAGAAGCGACCCACACTGAAGGAGCCTGGTGCTGGAAAAGCCATCTGTGCTTAGGGAAGCCTCACATACTATAGGGGCCCGCTGAGCAAGCCCAAGGGAACTATGAAGTAAAGTCCTTTCTTCCTGTAGTGTCTCTCCACTACCCTCGACTGAGAAAGCTTAAGATCATGCTAGCTGACAAAGGAAAAATATTTAAAAGGCCCAGATCTGTTTTCACAGAGCAGAAATAAAATGTGGATTTGGAGCTGAGAGGCAATAATTCAGTTATTTTTCCTCTTTTTGAAAAATATATCTCTCTACAAATCGAGTCAAATTTGATTTTCAATATTATTAACTATGTTTATTAACTTATGGTGAACCTGTTTGCTTTTTCCTTTTTTAGTCTTGATTTTACTTTGGGCTTGGCCCTGTCCTCTATTGTAAGTCATCTCAAACCCTTTTTGGAAATAACTATGCTGGAACCTTAGGCATATATTAAAGATTATGTTTGCCATCCAGAAGAACATCATGTTAGCTGTCATGCAGGATTCTCCTACATGGGAAGCCCAGCTTGTTTGTTTGTTTTTTATTGTAGCAAGATAAACATAGTGTAAAATTTACTGTTTTAACCATTTTTAAATGTACAGTTCAGTATCATAAGTATAGTATATTCACACTGTTAGGAGCGATAACTCCTCGTTTTCCCCTCTCCCCTACCC